GGTCCTTAGCTGTGCAAATCAGCTTGAAGGGCATTCACAAATTCAAAGCTGGGACTGCCTCAAATAAACCTTATGAAAGGAGTTTAAGCCTGTGAATGGAAAGATAATTCAGTGATTGTACATTGAAATTGGACTACTGAAAGTAGTAGAGTTATTTAGAGGCCTTGTGTGAGAATATCTTGGGTTTGTTGTTTTGTTGGTTTTTTTTTTAATGGTAGCAGAAACTAACATGCATGGGCATCTACTTTAGAAAAATCTCCTAGAGCCATAACCTCAGGCTATGCTAGATGCTGAAGACCAAACATGCTGAAATATACTTTTAATCTTGAAGTACTTCAGCTGTAGGGGATTTAGGTGTCTTGATTTCAGTTCACCATCAGAGTTATGCACACCTCCTGTGAAGAGCTTTGGGGTAACAGCTGGGCAAATCTGCATAAATTTACCCTCCTAGGAGCAATTACTTATGTTTTCTAAAATACTGATCTTGTGAGGGTAATGGATCAAGTCAAGCAGGATGTTTGGAATTATATCCATGGGTAACGTGAACTTAACTGCAAGCTGCTCAACTGAAAGATCAAGGATTAGCTTCAGATGAAATATATTTTCTTATTTCTCAGCTTATGTGCTACCTCATTAAATTCTTGTATAGCCTGTGAGCTCTGTTTTCCCATTGCTAGTAGTGCTGGCTTTATTACCATTCCTCCAACAAAAATGCAGACTCTTAGCTCTGAAAAACCTGTACCTGATAGGAACATACTTATTGATGGGATTGCTTATTCATCTTGTATTTTAGGTAAAATATGTATCTTCTGTTTATATCAAAAGGTAAATCACGATATATTAGGACTTCAGTTATGTCCCTATGTGTACTATGAGGAAGGTAGATTAGAAAACTTTTGCTGCAGTTGCATACATATTAGTTAAAACTTTTGTGGATTCTTTTGCATTTGAGGAATTCACCATACAATAACAACAACCGTTTCTAGAGTGTTACTTGGAATCATTTTGGGTGATGTTTTGTCTGTGAAAATGTTTCCCCTTTTTCCGACTATTGAAATTCTGCAATGGAAAGAACACTTGAAGTTTATTCTTATAACTTGAATGTCTTAATGAATTTATTTCTAGATTACTGGGCAGATCAATGTGTTTTTCCAGCATGGAGACACTTGTTATTTTAAGACTTTATTTCCTGATTTTTACCTAACAAACAATAGATTTTCAAAAATGTTTAGGAAGCCAATTCTTGGAAAGAAAACTGCTTCACATACTGATTGTTCCTATATTTCTTTTAGCTCTTCAGTTAGGTCATATCAGCTGAATAATTCTTTTAGTGTCTTCTAGTCCTAATGAGATGTCTTGCTATGCAGAATGAAATGTATAGGCTCATTCTTTAAACTATCTTCTAGTTTCAAATCAAAATACTGATGAAAGGATAATTTGATGCTTACTTGTTATCTGTTGTTACAGGGGGAAGGTTCTCTTTAACGTGACTACTTACAAGTAGTATTTCCTCATCATGGATGAGCTATCACCTGAAGAAATTCAGCTGAGGGCCAACCAGGTCACTGATGAGGTAAATATTATAGGAAGACATCTGGGATTACAGTACTTGTCTGACAAGATTAGAGTATCTTTTTAAAATAAAGACGGACCAGGATAATGATTCTACAAGGTTATAGCTGAGTGCTTTAAATTTTCACTTTGGTGAATACTGGAGTGAAGGCTACTCCTAAAAATAAGAATTCATTTTAACTGCTGACTTTTAAAGTCACTTACTTAACTGAATACTGATCACCCAGTCCTGATTACTGATATGATGCAATTTAGTTACCTACAGCATTATTAATGCTGTTAATTGTATTGATACTTCATGGCTTTCTTATTTATTTACAATTCATTTGAGTATGTCATCTTTTATAATGACTTTCCAAGAAAAATTAATAGCAAGGACTATAAGCCAAGAAAAACTGATATGCTATTACTAGGAGCATGTTGTAGTATCTATTAAATATGGACAAGGTGATGATCCTTTTATATATTATTGCCCTACTACAATGATCTGGCAGAGAAGACTTTCAGACACTGATGTGTATATAAGAAATTAATGCACTTATTTAAAAATTCTCTTTCTAGTCTTTGGAAAGCACAAGGAGGATTCTTGGCTTGGCCATTGAGGTAAGAAAAAGCTTTTGAATTCTCTGGGTTTATTAAGTATAAAAAGCAGCATGTTAACTGTCACAAAGTGATTTTAGACAGTTTTTTTGTCTTTCTCAAGACACACTTCATCATTAGAAGTTATTGCTTTGATTCAGTAGTAGCATTAGAATGACATAACTTTAATGATTTTCACATTGTATCAGATTACAGAAGAATCAGTATCCTTTTTACTTGTTTTAAGCAAAAGGATCTAATCTCCAGATGCTATAGATGGGTTGTAAAAAGTTTTCTGGTGGTTAGTTATGTCTTTAGCTGCTGCATAATTTGCTTTTCATACCATCTTTCATCTTAGTCTTTTAGCTCACTTTGACTGTGAACACTGTGGAAGCATTTTGCTATGACGACAGCAGGGCTCAGTTGGGTGGGGTAGACTGCTCTCAGCTCTAAATGAGTAATTCTACACACATCTTCTTACATCTGTTCATCAGTTTTAACTGATAATGAAACTCCTAACACCCTTTTGCATGATTTGAAACAAGTCTGTATTTTGGGTTTATCTAAGTGAAGTTGTATGAGGATCTACTCCTCTGCACAGTTCTGGCTTGCTGCAGATGCTGCTGTTAGCAGAGAGGCATTTGAATCACCACAGCCTGGTGAATATTCCTCACACACAGGTGTTAAGTACATGTCGTGAGCCAACATCATTTCTCTTTGTCATGGTTTGGTGATTCATTCTATGCTGCCAGTTCACTGTGAGGCATGGGTGCAACTTGCATCCTAGATCCAAGACTGAGTCAGCAAAGAGCTCTGCTGCAGTATATTCCTCTCTGCTGAATTCTTAGGAATGGTTTTGCAGGCTTTGTTTTGCTTCCTTCCATTCTGGTTCCCAAGACTAAAGGCCTTGTAAGCCCTTTTGAAGCCTGTAGGGATGAATGAACCAAATGCTACTTCTCAAAATGAAGCACAGCTAGGTTTACTTTTCTAGCTAGACGTTGTCACAGTTCAATCTGAATATTACAATAAATTTTATCATCTTGTTGTAATGTAAGAAAAACCTCACAAAAACACCATGAAAACCCCACTTATTGAGGTAGTGTAACAGGTAAGGTGCTTATCAGCCTAGCTTATAATTTGAGACTTCTAATAGCTTTACTACAGAAGTTATTTCAAGTACAGTGTTTTATAATAAAACTTAGTTGGATTATGAAACTTGCTACCCAGACCTTCTGATTTTACATTGAAATCTCATTTTATATCTGCAACTAAATTTCTTTTTGCAGTCCCAGGATGTTGGCATCAAAACTATTACCATGCTGGATGAACAAGGAGGTAAGTTCTTCCCTATCACTAAAAATCTATGTTAGAATGTAATCATTGTAAGAAAAGGATTATCATAAAAGCATTGTTGCTGAAACTAAAGGTTATTATTAAAGATTATTTAGTGCAAATGAGATATCCTAGTTGGTTATTCCTGTCTATTTGTAGTATTTAAGAGGCTTTAAAGTACTTCAAAGGTAATGATAGTTATAATGTAATACAGCTCTCTACAGAAGCTGTTTCTTTCCACCATGGCATAAATGTAACTATCTGCATTTATTATAGAAGTAACAAGCAGAAATGCCCCTCTAGGGATAGGGAAGATACTTGCAAAGTAGCAACCAAAACCTCTCACTGAATATCTTTTTTAAAAATTAAAAAAATCCTAGAAAGCAGGAAAGGAAAGTCATTTGTCTTGTTATAAAGATAGAACTGAAACTTGTTCCTGCTATAAAGAAATGTTAATTTCGCCCACCTTCCCCCAATCCATGCTTATTCAGGTTACTTGTTTCTCTTCTAGAACAACTAAATCGTATAGAAGAAGGCATGGACCAGATAAATAAGGACATGAGGGAAGCTGAGAAGACACTGACAGAGCTCAACAAATGTTGTGGGCTCTGTGTCTGTCCGTGTAACAGGTCAGTTATATTGGTACTTGGGCCTGGAGTTCTGGAATATTCCCAATATCTACTGTACCAGAGATCTTAACTCATAAAAGAGCTAATTAAAAAAATGCTGAATCTACCAAAGTTGATTGGTTTGGTTTGTAGAGCTGCATCCTTTTAAAATTGTATGAGAGTAACTGAAACTTACTTGTATCTAACCATACATTGTGCCCCTTTTCTGTAAATATAGCTGCTATGTAACATCCTGCACAGTTGTGTCCTAATCTCTTGAAGGCTTCTGTTTAGTAGACTATCAATGTCCATGCAGATGAGACCAAAGTGGACTGCAAATGCCTGTATATAAGTGCCTGTCTATTAGAAATTTGATTCTAAAAATCTTTTTTTCACAACAGTACTTTTGCACTAGTTTAAAAGCAACACAACTTATGTTTCAGAGAAGGAAATTAATATTACTTCTCTAAGTATTTGAAAAATATTCATGCTTTAGGGACGGTGAAGAGAACAGAGCAAACACTGGTGTTAAAGCTTTAATCTTTCCCTAGTGACTACATAAATTCATGCAGACCTGCTTCGCAGTACCTGTATAACATCAACATGTTATGGCTGCCATATCTAAGTCAGTTGAGTAATCTAATCTTTAGTTTGGCACTTGATTTGTATTTTTAAAGAAGTTAACAGCCTGAACAATGTCAGAATTCTTTTTGATGGTGTCCTAGCTTTACCTTTAAGCAGTAAAGTAACAAATTGTTTGTGTTAATTGGATGTGATCATAGCCCTTCCAAATGAAGGAGGCATAAATTGAGTATGGTGACTGAAGTGAATTGTGTGTGCATTTGTTGGTTTTTGCTCTTTAGCATGAGCAAAACCAATTATCATTCAATGGAGAAGTAGCAGAAGTTTAGCTAAAAATCCTTGGAGTAGCTGAGTCTACTTAACCAACAGAATAGTACTTTAAGAGTAATTTAGGATAAATGTGAATGTGAGTTCTAAGGCTGAAAGTCTTAGTGCTTTAGTCCCTTGAAAATGCAGATGTCTTGACCTCTGAGTAGGTGTACTTACTGCTTTATATTAGTTGGCTCAAGCTGATGGACTTTGAGCCGTTTTTACACACTCAGTCTTTGTTTACTGAGTAGCTGGTAGTCTTATTTCACTGAACCTAAGTAGCTTATGGACACTGAGCAAGCTCAGAATCTGGAAACTCTTGTAGCACTCCAGTACACAGATAACAAGAACAGAAATAATGGTGCACCAAACTGGACAGTAATTTACAGAAAAAAATTGGGTAAGTAGAGGGCAGCAAAGAAGAAAGAGTGAATGTCTTTCATATATCTACTGGTACACCAGCCCTTTTATCAATGTCAGATTTATTTGTTGACCAGTTACCTCCACAGCTTTTCATATTTTTCATAAAACCATAAAGCCAAATAAGCCAAATCAGAACACTTGCTGCTGAATCATTGGGGTTTTTTTTAAATTTCTCCTAGGCTTAGATTATTTATAAAAGCTTTGTGAAAACACAAAATACTGGCACTTCTGTTATACACTTTATGTACTAATAACAATTTACCTTTTTGTTGATCTTTACTACTTTCTTCTCTATTCTCTCCTAACACTGATGCTTGCTTTCTAAAAATGAAGACTAGCATAAGAAGCTGTATTCACTTAAACTGGTGAAAGTGGATTTTAGGACAAGGTCAGTGTTAGTAGTGCAGATGCATATTTAACTAGCTGTCTGAAGTGGTGTTTCTATTGCATTTGTGCTTGCATGTGCATGATGTCTGTCTGCATGCAGTTCTCCTTGTACTGTGATGTTTTTGTAATACTGACGTGAATAGAAAATGTCCATTACTACCAAGGGTATTATTACCTGTGGAAATGGGGAACAACTACTTGAGCCATTGCTGGTTTGACAGGTTGTGTAAATTGCTTTGGTTTTGCAGAAATGAAGTTTGACAAACGTGAATGTATAGTAATTTGAAAAAGAGCACTTAAAAACAGATGGTGAGAAGTTTTCTTCTTAACTGTGCTTACTTTGAACAATAATTCTTTTTCTGGCTGTCTGCTTCACAGGTGCAACTAGTCTTCAGGTCATTTGTTTTTTTTTTAATGAAGTCTTCACAGTTGTCTCTGGCACCTAAGACTTTGCTTTTCCAGAAGCAAATCATACAAAGATCTCTTCCGGTTATGGATTTAAAATAAAACATTCAATCTAGTTGCAGTAAACTTAGAGCTCTTTAGGCTTGTGTATGTACAAGGAGCTAGACTTGACTAGTTTAAGTTCCTTCAGCGTTTTGTTGCGTCCAGCACTTCCATTATGAGCTGAGAAATTATTCTGTCTTTGCCCTCAATATATTCATTCTAGATTACTTCTTGTAGGATCTGACCTATGAAACATAATTTCCCGTATTGAATACATAAACACCAGTAGAATGAGGGGGAATATTTGTTCATTGCAGCTAATTTCACAACTCTTCAAACATATAATGTCCAGGTTACTGAAAGGCACCATATCTCTAGAAATTGACTGCCTGTGATTGCAAAGTCAGATATACTGAGAGACACAGATTTCCTTTCAAGGTGTCTAAAGAAGCAGAAAAATGGCAGTGTCTGGATTGTCTAGCTTAAACCTGAAAATGCCACAAAACAAGGTGAACACGAGAATATTCTCAAAATAAGTTCTTTAGGATTCATGAGAAAAGACCCCAATTTAGATAAGTTTTTGTTAGATTTTCTTCCCCTCTTGCTTTTGTGGTTGTGTGATTCTTGAGATTGCTTTGTGTCAGTGTGCTTTCCTTATTGTTTTTTGTTCTCCTGTGAATTACATGGAAAAAGCATAATGGTAAGTTGGTTTATTGATTTAATGGAATTAGTACAATTGAATTGCAGAATAAAAGAGCTACTTAAACATGGTTACTGTTAGTTCAAAATCAAAGTTAACATGAGAAACGTTAACTTTTTCTGTTGCCAAGTCTTTTTTTAATGTTTGATAAAAAACAGTAGCAACTAATTTAGTTGCATAGTATAGGTATTTGTTTGAGGGAGTTTTTGTATTCATCCTCATTTCTTCCTGAAAGGCAACTAATCTTGACTCTAGATTAATTCCTGTTGTAAATGCAACTCTGTTTTATGACAGGATAAGCTTTTCTGTGACTGTCATAAGCTTCTGTCCTCTGGTAAAGTATTGCTTTAAGCAAATTACTGGTCTTGCATTAAAGCTTAAGACCAAATTAATCACTCTTCTTAGAGTAACTCAGTTGTGTTTGTACTATCAAGATACAAGATTAATACTGAATTTCAGTCAGGAAGCCGTATTTCTGATGTAGTGGTTCAGATTCTTTATTTTTATGGCATAGGACAAAGAACTTTGAGGCCAGTAAAGCATACAGATCAACCTGGGGAGATGGAACAGAGAACTCAGCAGATCATGTGATATCCATGCAACCAAAAAGTACAAATTGGCAGCAGCCTCAGACTTCTGGAGGACCAAGTGGTGGATATATTACAAGGTTTGCTTGCTCATATTCCTCAATCTCAAATGCACAAATCCTATTACTAGTCGTCAGCTTCTTTTGGATGCGTTTTAGGTCAAGTTGCTAAATAGAAAATTTTTTTACTGTTGTTTGGAGGAATTGTGGAGATGGCAGATACCTACACCTTCAGTATTGTAGTGCTCATCTTACACTTCTATTTTTTTTTTACATAGTGGTGATATTGTCAGTCTATTTCTGGATGTAAGAACTATAAGGCTTAGTACTCAGTTATTAAGGGGACTGTTGAAAATACTAGGCCTATTAATGTCATAAAGTATATTTGAGAGAAACTCAAGTCTTAAACTTCTAGTGACTATTTTTATTTTTAAGGCTATTTTTGTAGTAGTGGCTAACTTAGCACTTTTTTTTGGTGAATGCTTGCTTGAAATATAGGGAGTTGTAAAAGAGGAAAAACATACCTTGGTTTTAATGCATAGTGTAACACACAAGTTCTACTAGAGTAAATCTGGGCTAGATAAAAGCAAGTTCTTGATTCTTGAAACATTGTCTTAATTATTTGAACAGGATAACCAATGATGCCAGAGAAGATGAAATGGATGAAAATCTTGCTCAAGTTGGAAACATTCTTGGGAATTTGAAAAACATGGCTTTGGATATGGGCAATGAGATTGATGCCCAGAACAAGCAAATAGACCGGATAAATGTAAAGGTAAGTGCCAAAGGTGTTCTCTGCTTTCAGTTCAGAGGCTGTAACTGAGAGGTTATTAGGAATGTGCTCACTGTATTTGCAGCAAATATATTATAAGATTATGCCATCCTCTAGGTTGCAGTGATTTGAACAAGATATACCATGATACATATAGGGTATAATATAGCTTAAAATTCCAATGCTTGAGTGTCAGGAAACCTAAATATACAGCACAGATTTCTTCTTACTCTGAAAACTAATAAACTTCATGGGATCAAAAGTACAAACATTTACTGAGGAACTGTTGCTCTCGGGAAATTTTTTTCTCATGGTAGAGAATAGGTGTTTTAACAATAGCAAGGCTCTTCTGGAATTCCTAAAAAGCCACTATAATGAATGTAAAGTAAAACACAAGTAATTAATTTCCCTAATTCTTGTGGACAAATTAATATTGGAGCTTTGGGGAGACTTTGAAATAATGGAGTTTGTAGGTGCACAGGTAAATGGTCTGCATGTGAAGTTAGTCATAGTAACTTCCTTTTTTTTTATATAATTTTATTATATAAGTCTTAGCTTCTCCAAATAGATTAAGCATATATAATATGTTTTGGGGAGATTTCTTTCAAGGGGCAGCTTAATGAGAATGCTAAGTCTTATTTTAGAAATGCCCATATTCTGAAATAGGTAGGAGTTATTTTATAGGCATCCTGGTTGAGAAAGGAAGCAAAACCTTAATGAATAGTGTGTATTAAAGATTTCAAAAAGTAGTGAACACCAATTATGATGACGTTACAGTATTAAGACAAAACAAGAATTTAAAAATCTCACTAAAATGTGCAGTAGGGTTAAAAGCAAGAAGAACAGAATTCCTCTAGTTTGACAAAAATGCTGATTGCACCTGTGTCAGCATTTCAATTTTGTCTAATAATTAAGGGATTGTGGTATTGATAAAGCAAATCAACATGATTATATGGAGGATACCTTAACTGTTCCCTGAAACTGCTCAACTGATTACCATGTTGAAAAAGTCAGACAGTTTAAAGTACACTAGAAAATTTCTTGGAGTTTAAAATGAGGTATGAAATTCTTATAGCTTACAAAGCAGACTGAAAAGTGCCTGGTCCAATAAACTGCAAGTAGGAATTACTCTTTTTAGTAAGTGTTTCTAGTAGATTCAAGCATCTGTTTTGGCCTGATGCTCATTTGGTTTAGTGATTTGAATAAATCTTGCTGATCAAGTCTTACTAATTATTAAAATATGGTGTATACAAGTTAGAATTACTTTGCATACCAGAATGAAAATGAAAGTGCAGTTCCTGGCTTTGAGATTGGCAGCTTGTCTCAGAATATTTAAATTAATCATTTTATGCTCATAACTTCTTAAATCTAGTGAACAGTGTAGAAACTAAACCAAATGTTGTCTGTAAATCTCCAAACAGCAGTATCATGTAAAGAAACAAAGAGTGGCATTAAGCTCAACTTCAGAATAGAATTGATACTTTTATTTTGTTTTAAATTCTGACTCACTTTGGAAATAGACTTGACTGGGTGATTTTTGCTAGTATTATGCAGTACTCGTAGTCTGAATAAACCCATAATGGAACTTACATTACTGGATTTTTCTTAGAAGAAGATACTGGATTTTTCTTAGAATATCTAATAACTAGATTAGTGTTTCCAAAGTGTTGCTAACAGATGAGTCTCCCCTTTCTATAGTAGGAGGGAAGGACTTGAACTGCAAGTGTGCTCTGCCCAACCATTGCAGGACAAAGGTGTGAAATGGCTAATACTTGGCACAGGTTGAACTCTTCAGGAGTTCCACTCAGGGTGAGGGCAGAGGCTGGTTACACTTCCTGCACATTCCCCACAGCACACTGCATAATTGGGGAATTACTTATAAACTCCTTATCATACCTTTCAGTAAAGCTGTATTTTACCACTTGTTCAACCTAGATACCCTGACCTGACTTTTGTTGCTTTATTATATGCTTAAATTAAACAATAATAAAATCTAAAGCTTGTTCATAAAATAACATATTGTTACAGCACTATGACATTGGAGGGGATGTGAATAAAAACTATGGATTTGCACTAAACAAAAGAAATCTGACTTCATGCCCAGAGGCCCAGTTTTGACTATCACTTCTAGTTCAGAGCATCCTTGTTGCTCTGTAGAGGTCCTTAAGGTGTCTAAACACTGGGAGAGGATTTTTATTCTCTTGTTTTCTTAACGTGCTTCCTGACCAGCTGAGGCAAGCTGCTGTGTTTTGAAAGTCTAAAGAGTAAAACCTTTTTCTCTTGGTTGCTTCTGCCAAAATTGATAGCATGTGCTGTCTGGGGGGAAAAAAATTAATTCCAGCATATAGAAATTACTCCCCTTCTCTCTACCACAATGATGATACCTTGCAATTCAGAAGTTCATGTCAGTTTTAAATTGTTTTGCATCAAGTCTTCAAATGACCTGTGAATTTCTCTCTTCCAGGCTGATACAAACAGGGAACGCATTGAGCAAGCGAACATCAGAGCCAAGAAACTAATTGAAAATTAAAGCCTGCTGTCATTGTTCATTGACAGCCTCTCCAGCTGCAAGCCACCATATTCATGGATCTGTGAAACTTCTATTCTGAAATAAGAGGGGTTGGGAAAAATGAAGCAGTACCCCTTCTGTAGGGATTAGTTTTCTTTTATTGCTTCATGTAAACATGGCCTTGACTCCAAGAAAGCAGCCAACTTCCTTCTACTCATCTGCCTTCACTTTCTTTAAACTGCTCAGGGCTAAAAGTGTTAGGGCTTTGAGAATCTTCTTGCATGTTTTATTCCCCTTCCCAATTTCTTCTTACTATTTTTTTTTTTTATTTTACTGCACCGAAAATTCAGTCCTTTATTTAAATTGAACAAGCAGGGTAACCTGAATTCACAGTTGTGGAAAGTTGGAGAGGGCACTTTGCACTGTTTGAAATACCTCATAAGTTGGGTGTCTTCACTAAAATAGGGAATAGGTGAACATTGTCTGATTTTTATCTCTAGCATCTAACCATAGTTTTACAGTCCAAACCACACAATTGGTTTGGAATTGAATTTGTGAATCACAGAATTGAAGAGGCCCATTATTTACAGCTTGTGGGTTGAGGGCTTTAAAACACTTCCTAACCACACAAACCTTAAGGTAATGGTAACCAGAGGGATATAAGGTTTCCGTTTCTTGACTGTAAAATTGACATCGGTTTGGAGGCCATGACTAATCATGCTGCATTGTTCTGATAATATTTGTTGTGTGTGTATATATATCTGATCTAAACCCCATGCACACAAGTAGAAGATAAAACAATCTCCCCAAGGTATTTACTTGATAGAAAATTTTACACCCCTCATCTGAAAGTTAACTTTTGTTTGAATGATGCATCTGAACTGGAAGAAACTGAGTAGAAAAGCATGCAGTTTGCTTGCTTCCCATATCTTATTTTCTTGTGGCCAGTTTTCACTGGAGTTCAGTTAATGCCTTTCTCCAGTGCAAAATAATGATAGAGATCTGGTGCAGAGTTTGTTCTCAGCAGTGACTTTGGGGGTGCTTCTTAAAACTACCAAAACCAGAGAAGCTTATTGTAAAACATTTTGTCAGAAGTCTGAAGGAAGCAGTAGTTATTTAGGAACTGTATGCTAGTTCTAAATAAACTAGTTCTAAATAGTTTCCTGGCTGGTTTATTATTGCAGACTTTGGGACTGGCAATTGGAAATACCACATATCCAAGTTGCTTGAAAATAAAATGGTCTCTGCAGAACAGAGGAGTTTCTGACCACGTGAGGTAAAGCACTCTCCCATGAAGAAAAAAAGATTTACTGTAATATAAAAAGATTTTCTTGAAATCTTGATAGTTATTCAATTGCAAGTAACTTAGATTATTGTAACTCCACCCAGTGATATATTATGCCTGTTTTCGAGTTGAAAATGATACTTTGGAATAACCTGTGATACTCAGTGTTGGATGGCAAAAATATTCAAACCAAATTTTAGGAGGAATAATTAAAACTGATAGCATTATGGGGTGCTTTTTGAAGGACAGTCCACAAATACCCTGTAGCCACTAATACTGAACCCCAGAGTCAGAGATGACACTAATCTACCGAAATACAAGACAGTGTTTGTTAAGTGTTGTTTTCTTTTTAGTAGAAATACAGTCAGTGTTACTAGTATATTTTCAGTTGGCTCCCAGGACAACTTGATATTTAAAGAAAAAAGAACCAAAACCAAGAACCACACGCACAAAAACCCACAATGACCCACCAAACAAAAGCCCAACCAAACAAAAAACCCCAAACAACTGACCAAAGGATGGGGCAGCTGCATGGAAAAGTAGGCCAGGGGCAGTTTGCCTTATGTGAATAAGGTAAAGTCATTTTAGGGGACTAGATACTTGAGTAATGTGGGTTGGCTCCTCTCTAGCTTCCGGTAATTGTTGGAATGCTAATGTATTTCAAAAGCTCACTAGCTGCCCAATCAGTGAATGAAGATTGTGCTTAAAAATGCAAATAGCAAAGAAGTACTTTTAAGAGCACAGTATAGTAAACTTTGAACAGCCACCTGCATAGGGATTTTGTATGCCCTTTTTTCCTTCTTAAAAACTTCAGATTAACTTAAGGAATATTTGCTGCTAGTTGTAAAAGCAAAGTATATGTTATTTAATTATGATTGTCTCCTGGAACAGAAGAGTGAAGTGGTTACCTTATTCTGCTTACACAGTGCAAGCCTGCTCTGTAGCATTTGGGATATTCCAAACATTGGAATGTTTTTCTCCCTTGCCATTGCAAGTCCTTGTTCTTGACTTGCCTGAGCTCTAACAATAAATGAGCATGTTGACTGATAAAAATGCTGTGATTGGTATATTGAAATTGTACTATTGCAGTGAATACTACACCAGGAAATCATTTCTGAGAGTCTTTAGTATTATAAGAGTATCAATACAATTTTCTGATGCAGCAAGAGCCAAATCTGTGAGGGAATTGGTGCCTTTATGTTAGTCAAAAACAGTTTGCTTCTTGGATGTCTTACTGTTGTCAATAGAATAGATGCTTAATTTCCATATCTATGGTATGAAATCGACACTTGTACATCTTTGTATGTCTGAATGCTATTAAGAATGAAGGTTTACAGTTTCTGCTTTTGATTGTTAAACTATATATTGTGCACAAAAATACATACTTTTATAACTGAATGTGTTTTAAAACTCCTTTCTCTTAGAAATGTCTTTTAGTTTCCTGTCCTTGAAAAACTTGGCAGAACTAGTTGCTATTATGCAACTAGGAAGTTCCTCTTCTATTTTTATTTCACAGAAATCCCAATGCTAAGAAAATAATGGGTGTGGTTGGGACGAGAGGAGTACTGTGGTCTTTATCACTCTAATTTTAATCTCCACCTAATTCAGACAGTGAACTGTGTCCATCTCTTCTTTGAAACACCATGACCTACATGGGAATGTACTTGAGGATGATAAAGGAGCAAAGTAAAATAACTTAAAACTTTCTAGTTAAGTATTGGTAACAGATGCCTAGCAAATAACTAGTCCAGTAGATGAAATGTAGTGATTTGACCTACTGCAAATGCAATTTCATTTGTGAGGCAATTTAAATTGTATTTTTGCTCATACCAGAACCTCAGATTGCCAGAGCACTCTTAAGGGGGAGGAGGTATGGGGAGGAAATAAAGATTTTTGTTGACTTGGAACAGTTCTGGGCTGCAAGAGCGACTAGCATACCTAGGAACAGCTTGGAAGAAGTGCTTCTAATCTACTCTCTAATATACTAGGAAACTATTCCAGTAACTAGGGACAGCCTGCTTACATGATTGTTATGAGGAGGCAGCACATGTCCCATGGGTACACTTAAAGGACAACAATTGGTAAATTCAAGCTAGTCTACTCCTTGATAAAAGACACATTTTTAGCACAGCAGTAACTGTACTATGAACTGCAGCCCATGCTCCTTGTACAGTTAGTTGCAGAACTCACCTCTGTGAAGGCAATATGGTGAAATAACTCACTGTTCACACCACAATGACTGGCAGTTGCTAATTGACCTTTGCTGTGCTTGAAGCAATGCAGTGTCTAAATGCTGGTGGAATAGATGGACAAGATGTGTGTCATGCTGCAATGGAAATTTGGAGAGCAAGTGATATAGGTCTGAAACAAAATACATAAATGGTTTCTATTGTTAACTAGGGTAATTCCAAAACTAAAAGGCTGCAAGCATAATTGTGCACAGAAATAAGATTGGTTTATAGCTTCACTTGTTGCAGGGTGGGGGTGATAAGGGAAAACAGAAGTCCCAGTATAAAACTACTACTAGGTTAGAGTGCTGGAATGTCTAGAACAGCATTGTTCTACTATGTGACTTAGTCACAGTTCATTGCTGTGAATTAAAACAGGCAAGGGCATCGGCCAGTTATTTTTTCCTTGCAACAGAAATAAGTCTTCCTCTGTTCTGGAACAGTTCCAGTTAATTAAGACTACCTCAGTTCCAATCAGTATTTTACATGGTGCTTTCTCTATTTTGCTCTACAAAAGCTTTGATAGCTGTCATAACTCCAAGGCAGTAAAGGAACCTAACAATGAGCAATTGAAAGGTTTCTAAATATACTAGTGATTACAAAAAAGAAATGCTGAATTACTTAAATATTTCCCACAATAGTAAGATTTTTTTATAGCAATGCTAACTTCATAATTATTAATGGTTCTGCTCTACACTCTCTTCTTACACATTGTTGAATAGAAAAGAACCCTGATAAACTTGTTAAATGAGAGAAGCATCATCTCTCAGCACAGATACTTTCAGTTTAAAAATTGTAAAACCACACTGCCACCACAGCACAGTATTGCCAAGTGTGTACATATTGATGATAGACCACTCCTTTGGTGAATACAAGGGGGGAATCTGTTAACTGCTCATCTGTTCTGTTGATGTCTCATGCACAGCAAAGCTCTAGGAAAAAAAAAGCTAGTACTTCAAACAAGATTTAGGTATCAAGTAGAAGGAGCTAAAATTTAAAGTAAGTGTGGAGGCTTTATTCAATTTGCATGTTCTAATCGGTGGAATCTACTGGTATGAAGTTGAATAGATTTCTGACTATACAGGGCCTTGCATTATGGTAGTACATAAGGGCTCTTAAAGCATTTTCTTGGTTATGTCTTGCAAAACAAAGTAGTCTCATAAACATTGTCAGCTGTCAGCTACTTCTGTCAAAGGAGGTTTTTTATTAAGTAATAGCTTGAATGGGGATTCTTAAGTACAATTGGTTCCCTGTTACATGACGAATTGAATCCATCCTTTGAATAAGGAGCTGATGTCCCCTAAAACACCCTTCTAGGTATTACTGTGTAAGAATGGAAATGAGATGGCAACAGGGTCAGGGAAATAAACACCTCTCTGAGCATCTCACAAAAGAACCATTTATTGCTAATCATAATTATGGGTGTAATGGTGAAGTATAGCTGTTACCAACAACTGATAGACTCAAGTAGCTAAGTGAGGGCTTTCAGTGGCATCATAGTACTACTCAATAAAATGACAACAGTTACACCAGATCAACTTGAACTGATTTTTTGAAAATAATTTACTAAAATATACAAGTACATTTTCCTTTTCAGTATAAGTTACATAATTGCATACATTTTTAGCTCTTTCTAGGTGCTTTTGGTAATAAGGCAGCAGCAGTGGGCTGACAACTAAAACCTTCAGCATTGCTCTGTACACAAGGAGTCAGTGCAAGGATATATTTTCTTGCAGTATACATTTTTACTGAATACACCGAAGATGAACCTGATTCTTATTTGATACAGCTCTAGCAAAAGTGGACTGTAGTGCAAATCTTGCTTATGGGAAAAGAAAGCATGTAGAGTAAAATATAAATTAAGGATGCTCAAACCACAATTTGTTTACTGGAAGCTGTTAATAAAACATTTAACTTAACCACAACTATTTGTGCTTCATTAAAAAAAAACCAACAAAAAACTTACACAAGTTATAAACTAAAACCTTATTTGTAAAAGTTCTTCTCTGCAGAACAATGCTTACTGCAAGACATACAGTGCTTTGGTGGTAGAACTTCCATGTGCTATCACGGAAAAATGTTTCCAGAAGAAATAATCCTCTTACAAATCAACAGCCAGCTTCCTGACAAAAGGGAACTGGCAACTTTGAAATGCTTGTTCTCTTTCTCTGTGAAAGAACAAGCCCTGACAAAGGAGAACATGTACTGTGTTAAAAGCTATTGTGGCACAAAAATCAAAACTGGCCCCTGGGCAGGTTCATCAGTTCAATACCTATATTCTCTAGTTCAAGTTTATTCAAAGTGGTCTTAACAGGCTGTTTGAGACTACTAGAAGAGGAGTAATCTGATCATTTCCATCATCAGTCTTGGTTCAAGTCAGTGAAGCAGATGCTGCTCGTCTAAGTCTTCTTACTGATAATATACAGGGTCAGAATAGTGATCATGCAAACTTCTTCTTTGTAGCTGTAAATCGTTCCATGTACTGCACAGAAAACAAAAGAAAAAATCAAAGATTTTTTCAGAAATTAATAGAGGATTCATTGCTACTAAAAGCAGCTGAGCTGCTGCTCTCAAACTCAAAAGCATTCTGTATCTAAAGCCTATTTTTATATCCCAAGCATAACCATTAGAGCTTTAATTTCAAACAAAGACATCCCCAAAACATTTCTGGCATTCACTGCAATTCAGATTAATGGTCAAATCTCTAGTGTTAAGGATGAACTAATATTAAATACTTAACAAATGCTGTATAGTTCAGAGCATTTTTTTATTGCATCAAAGTGAAGACATGCTTGTCATTATTAGCTACCCTTCAAAAGATGCTGATGAAAGAACACTGACTGAATCCTACAAGGAAGTTATCTCTGAAAAACTCCTGGAGCTGTTTTCAGGTTAGTTATTAATCCAGTACCAATGACACCACCAATGGACTATAGTGCTTTTATTCACTGTCATAAATGCTTAGTATTCTGAGTAAGGACTTCACCAGGAGTTTTTTTAAAAAAAAAAAGACAAAAACCCCAAAACAAAACACAAACCTTGTCATAACCATCCAGTTCTCTGAGTTTCTTGATTTCAAAGAGGTTGCCTTCTACTGCAAGCAGTGAGATCTGGGAATCACTGAGGATACTCTGAGGCAGCATGCTGAGTTCTAGACAGTTTTCTTCTAAACGCAAGACTTTGAGGCGTGGACAGTGGGAGATCTGCACTGAGATCTGGGAAATCTTGTGGAAATAAAAAGAGAAATGGGATTAAAATGGTAGTGATCAATGATTATTAAGTGATCTGTTTCTGACTTATACATAACAACTACCATATTGTAAATATAAACTACATTAAGAGTAAGTACTTAAAAACAATGCGTAAGTAACAAATTATCAAAAATCAAAATAACTTTTTTTATTCCATGATGACAAGCAACCTACACATCTATTTATCACATGCCTACTTAAGAGCTATTTAAATAATTTTCTGCATGACTAAATTCAGGATTTGTTAGTTAATCAAATCAGGCAGTTGGATGTATTGGTACACAAATTCTAGTTACGATTCCTCATTTGTGTTGTGTCCAGGAGATGTCTTTTAGCTATAAAGTTTTGATGGTCTCATCTTAGGTTCCATGGCTATACTATGTCCAAGATAAACAATGTCCTAAATCTACATTCCCAGAACATCTCAGTTACCAGACCTGATTCTGATTCAAATTGAGCTCGATAGCCTGCAGTTCTCCCACACTGTCGGGGACATTTTGGATCTGGTTTTTTGAAAGATCCACCACATCCAAATGGCGAAGACCAGAGAGTTGTGTAGGCACAGTCCGAAGCTGATTTCCAGAAAGGCTCAGGGTTTTGAGAGCTGAAAGTTGTCCAAATGCAGCTGGTAGCTGCCTCAAGTGATTGCCATTCAAGTGTAGTGTTTCCAGTTTTTTCAGTTTACACAGCTCCTCAGGTAAAGCAGCTAGAGAAAAATGACAGAAAAACGTATGACCCAAAGAGCAGGAAACATCCATAACCATTTAATTCAAATAAGCTTCTGCAGGGAGAACAGCGCTATATTAAGTAATTCCTCACTGAATTCCTCCCCAATTTCCAGTGAAGGCACAGATCCCTGCACAGAAACTTCAGCCCACAGACAACATGTGCCTTTTTAACTATCACCCATAAATGTATTAAAAATAATCTGCAGATAAGGCAGACCTTCAAATCACAGTCTGAAATCATTGTTTGGAAGATTTCAGCCTGTCAGTTACAGTCCTTACTAACATTCTGCCACTGTGTTCTATGACACTTGAAATACCACAAAATTCACAGCTTCACCTTTGCCCTTTAAAACTATTACTCAACTTATAGAAGTAAGTTAGGAGATAATTCATACTGTGTCATACCAGCATGCAAACATCACCAGGTAAGGTCTGCTGGCATTCCTTCATCCCTCTTTCCACCTACACATGTGTATCACCTCTAACACTCCTGAGCTGCTCTACAGAGTCAATGAGGTTTGTAAATTATCTTTGTTTTTTCAAAAAGGCAAAAAATACATACTTAATACATACTAACTTCTTCGTTGTGATTTTTTCATAATGATGGATGTTTGTTTAACAGAAACAGTAACAACAGATGAATGGCCAGCAATATTGTCTACACATCATCTTCATTACCTGTTCCCTAGGCAAGTACTAAACCATCTGGCACTGTTAAACCCTCGTGTCAGGTCAAGTCATAGCACAAAACCTCTACGGGTTTAAGTACTCACATGTCATTGTAAAATTGATAATACACTAAATGGCAACTAGTTTTGTAGAATTTATGATTTAGAGGTTTTTATCCTGTACATGAATTCCAAAGATTTCAGTTTAGGTGACTAAACTCCCCATTTATATCTTGCGAGAGTTAAATAATAAAATCTAGGTTTTGATAGAGAAAAGGAGTTATTATTTTAAAAATCAGTGGAGGTATTAATTAGCAGGCATACTCAGTTTGTTGTTGTTTAGAGCAAGGCTCTTCAAAAAGGAAAATTTTCCAATGAGAGGTGGCAAGAGCTCTATTTTGTTGTTCGACAAGTCTATTGTCCTTAAGTTGCTTGCTAGCTTCTGCAGATCTTCAGGAAACTATTGGGGGGGAAAAAGATACAGCATTTAGAGTTGATACAAATTTGAATGTTCCAGCAGTATAATTAAATTTTTAATTGTCTCACTGTTACATACTGTCATATGTATCACAATGTCCAATCACCACAGTGTGATCAGCAAATTTGTTTAACACATATTTTTTAAAATATTTTTTTCAACTGGGGAGGGGAAAGGGAGTATTAAAAAAACACTAATATCTAGAAGGAGTAGTTTTTCATCCAAACAAGTAAAATTAAAAACATTACACGTTCATCCTATTATGTGCTTCTCTTAAACATGCCTGTAATTAAAAATACTCTACAGCCAGTTAATAACTCCATATTTTAGCAGAGTATGATGTGAAAAGCTTTCTCCTGCTTTCCTTTTTAAGTAATTATGCATACCATTTTCCTTATTCTCATTTACATCCTGTACCACTTTGGTACTGAGTCTTGGTACTCAGGTGAATAAAAGAAAAACCTGACAATCACCATCAAGGAGTCCTGGTGAATAAGCCAGTAGTTTTGATCCTCCTTGGCTTGACAGAGAAGAAGTGAAGAGAGGAGGTAGGACAGTGGAAAAAGGTATGTTAGGAAAGGCTTGGAAAATTATGGCAATATAGAGTTATTTTTGGCTATCCTGTGAATTGTTGGTTGACTTATGGTTCCAGGACATTCTGTGTTTTTCTGCAGTTGAGTTTAAGTTAAGATAATTTCCAATATAATGAACTTTTAGGATGCTTACTGCCAGCCCAATGTACAGCCTGCACAGACTATTCATATGGCTACAATTAAATACAGCATAAGTACCTAAATGTGACAAATTGTGGAGTATCTTTCTAAGTTACAATACAGTTATAAAATTTATATTGTCCCCCCCAAGTTTATAGACATTTTCTAAAAGCACAACATCATAACTAGTATCTGTTGAACCTATATGCACTATAAAGCACAGGCTCATAAGCATACAAGTGCCCTGACAGATAAATCCTCAATCAGAAGACGAGCAAGCAAAAATAGGAAAAAAAAAGAAATCTTGAAATATTTTCCATTACTGCTTGTAAGAAATACATGTATGCAAGTGCATTACAACAACAAGTGGGAATTTCTCTCCGGAAGTGTCAGTCATACACACAAACAGCCATGTTATTACCTCAGTAAGTCCTTTTCCTGTCAGCTGAAACACGCCAGTTTTCTGTGCTGTCTCCAGGTGGGCTTTTAGTGCACTATTTCCCATCCTAACAGTTCTCTGTCAAGCACAGGGAGCCCGAGTGATGCTGTCAGCCAGTTTTACTCTGTGCCAGAGAACTGCAATCCAAAGTCTCTGTGATAAAGCAAACGTAAAGTCAATGTGCACTGTCCCCAACACTACAAGCACTCTGACACACTGAACAATTCCACTGCTCTGTTTTCATCTCCCTCCTAACTAAACCTACAAGTCTAAAGGTTTACCAAGGTTTACCTAGACTAAGGTGTCTTTCTTACAGCAGTTTGATTACTGAAACTACGCAACAAGCACAGAACTAAGTGGGAAAACGGCACATTTTCTATATTTTGCCTCTTTCGAGGCCCCGCAGCATAAGGAGATTCTCCACGGAGATGGGACGTGATATCTGTGGCATCTACCAGCGCTGGCCTGCCGACAATGCTATTGGTTTTTTTTTCCTTTTTTTGAGACCTTAACTCTGTTTAGAGAACTGACTCCTCTGCCGTGCCTATTAGCAGACACACGACACCCACCTCGGTAACCCCAGCGGGGTTTAATCCCAGGGCACACGGGTCACGGGGATTAGTGCCGGGCGGTGGGGAACGGAGCCTGGGGGACAGCACGTAAGCAGCCGCGGCGGCCGCCCCGGAGAGAGCCGAGGCCAGCACTGACCCGCGCAGGCCGCGGCCCGCCCGCCCCAACCCCGCACCGCCGGGGGCTGCCGGGCCCGGCCCGGCCCGGCCCAACCAACCTGTCCGGGCGCCGCTGGCAGACGCTCCGCGGCGGCGGAGCCCCGGCCCGACCCCGCGCTCCGCCCTTCCAGAACCGCCGCTCCGGCAGCGCCCGCCCGGAACCGGACGCGTGTCAGCGCCGTTCCTGCCACGCCCGCCATGGCGGCGCCCAGGCGCTCCCGCTCCCTGCGCTACAGCGGGACCTCGCCCGTGGCGGCCGCCAGCCCCAGCCTCAGCCCCAGCCTCAGCCCCAGCCCCAGCCTCAGCCCCAGCCTCAGCCCCAGTCCCAGCCCCAGTCCCAGCCCCAGCTCCAGCCCCAGCTCCAGCTCCAGCCCCAGCCCCGGGCCCCGCGGGGCGGCCGAGCCCGAGCTCGACTCCGATTCCGAGCTCGACGACGATGCCGAGCTGGAGCTGGAGTGCAGGTCGTGGCTCGGCGTGGAGAGCGATGAGGAGCAGGACGGCGACGTGTCCTGGCCCTCGCAGCCCGGGGAGCCATCGGCGGTGGCCGCGCTGCTGGAGCGCTGCGTGGCGGCGGGCGCCGTGAGCCAGGTACCAGCGGGGACAGCGGGGACAGCGGCCCGAGCAGCCTGAGTGCCGCCCGCCTCTCGTCTGTGCGGCTGTGCTGCCGAGCGCGGGAGAGGAACTGCCTTGAAAGCCATTATGGAGCATTTGCTCGGTGCGTTCTGGCTGCTGATTGCGTTCTTCCTGTTGTCTTACCCTCAAAGGAGACCTTGGATTTAACTTGCAGAAGAACGCCATGCTTTGCGAAATTCGCAGAGGTGGAAGAAATGGTAAACATGGAAGCTGAAATCAACGAGGTACAGCCTTTACTATTGTCAGTGTTCACTCAGTACTTCGATACGTGAAGGTAATACAGGGCCTGGATTAAATATCAGACTGCCACATGTTTTTTTCATGTTTTGAGGGGTTTGTTGACAGTTCAGCTGTTTAACATTTGGCACTTTTTTTTTTCCCCACTGGACTGAGTTGTCGTAAAGAAAAAAAACTATGAAACAAAAAGTTTAAGGTTTAAAGTTTAAGTAGAAGGATTCAGCAGGCTGCACCTTCGATTAAAGTGTTACCTGAGTTTTCTTGAAGAAACTGGACAATAAAGAAGAATTTGAAGTTGCCTTCAGTACACAAAAATGTGTCTCTTTATAGGCAATTTTGTTGGTTAGCAGGCAGTAATCTCCGACATTTCATCCTGCCTTAATCAGCTGTTGCCTTGTATTTTGTAATGTTGGTTTAGACACTACATAGACTGTGAAACTACTTTCTAAGAGATGTAAGTAAGAGAGACATAGGTTTGAAGGGTAGATTGTTCCATGATTAAGGAATTGGCAGGAGAAGAGCACTGGACACAGCAGAAGGATGGGATGCCATCCAGAGGGACTGGGCAAGCTTGAGAAGTAGGCTCACAAGATCCTCATGAGGCTCAACAAGACCGAGTGTGGGGTCCTGCACCTGGGTCAGGGCAATCCCAGACGTGAGTACAGACTGGGAGATTGGAAACAGCGCTGTGGAGAAGGACTTGGGGTTTCTTGTGGATGAAAAGTTGGACGTGACCTGGCAATGTGCAGTCACAGCCCAGAAAACCAACTCCATCCTGGGCTGCGTCCATAGCAGCATGGCCAGCAGGGGAAGGGAGGGGATTCTCCTCTTCTGCCCTTGTGAGACTCCACCTGGAATACTGTGTCCAGGTCTGGGATCCTCAGGGCAGGAAAGAAGTGAACCTGTTGGAGCAGTTCCAAGGAGAGGAGGGCCATGAGGGTGATCCATGGGCTGGAGGAGAGGGCTGGAACACCTCTCCTACAAAAACAGACCCAGAGAGCAGGGATTGTTCAGCAGCCGTCCAGTACTTAAAGGGGGACTAGGAAAAGAGGGAGAGTGACTTTTACCACAAGCAGATGATGCTAGGACAAGGGGGAATGGTTTTAAACTAAAAGAAAAGAGATTAGATTAGATTAGATTAGATTAGATTAGATTAGATTAGATTAGATTAGATATTAGGAAAAAATTTTTTACAATGAGGATGGTGAGACACTGGAACAGGTTGCCAAGAGAATTTGTGGATGCCCCATCCCTGAAAGTGTTCAGGGCTAGGTTACAGGGTCTCTGACTCTGAGCAGCCTGGTCTAGCAGGTGATATCCCTGCCCATTGGCAGGGGATTGGAACAAGATGATTTTAAGGGCCCTTTCAACCCAAGCCATTCTATCATAAGCTCTATGGTTTAGGAATGAATTGCAGGATCTGTCTTTTCCGGCACAAATCTCCAAGTTATTTAGGTAGGTCTTTTTAAACAGCCTTCCTCTTACTGACCAAAAAAGCCTCACCTAGTTGAAACTCTCCAGAGAGCAGGGTAACCTGTTCTTGTGCTAATGCTCACTCCCTTTCACACACATGCTCTGCCTGTGCTGCCCCTTTCTCCCTTTTTACTTCCTCCTCCACCCCAAGAGAGTCAACAATGTCTGGATAAGTATGTTAAAAATGCATTTTCATCTGATGTTATTATTGTTGTAGATAAAACTGAAAATTGAAATGATGCAGTTGGAGAATGAGACAGCAGACATTACTCACCATTTTTACTTAGGTAAGTGCAGTTGTACCGTAGAAAAACCAAGAGTCTTAAATTATCAGGAGATTAATGTTTCATCTGGGTACGTAACCCTTCTAGAAATTATAGCAGCAGTCATCTCTGAATAACTTGTTAGAGGTGGTCGGTGTTTTATGAACACCTAAAGCATGTTTCCATACTATTTGAACTTTCACTCTCTACTGTCTCATAGAAACTCCGAGTGTAATTCAGTTTCCAAAATAGTGTGGGAGGTGCGGTCAGCTCCCCAGGGTCAGTGAATCATCAGTTCTGAGATCATCAGTAACCATTGGCCTGCATGTGCTACTCTGCTTGACTTCCAGAAACTCAGTGTATTTCTGTTGCATCTCTATCCCCCTAAACTTACTACATTTTTAATTTAGCACTTCGGGAGCATATGCATTGATTTCTTTATTATTGCAGACTTTGTCCACTACAATTTTATGTGTGCTTAAAAGCATTCTAGCTTGCTACTGTTGTGCTAGACTTGTGAAATCTGTTGTGATACTTCAGTGCTAGTATAGGTATAGTTGACTTCATCTCAAAGAGAATTTACTTAAAACTCTAGATAATGTAAAACAATTATATCTATCACTAAAAAATAGATATTGTGACTTTGAGTGCATACTGATACTAAATCATATATGCTCCAAGAAAATCCGTTCTGATTAATGTCTCTTGAATGTAAGCTGTCCACTGCAATAGATCAGTATTTTCCTTTCTGTCTTCAGGAGAAATTTTGCTCTTGTTTTAGCAGGACAATAGGTTCAACTTTGCATTTTATTTTATAGGGAAAAAGTGCAAGATTTTGCAAGATATGAACAAGCACCTGGAAGCCACACTGAAAGAGAAGAGGGATCTCAGAAAGAGGTTGATCAAACACGGATGTCAAGAAAGCCTGCCTATTGAGGCTACTTTTCACAGGTAGGCACACAGAAAATAATTTTTCTTGTTTGCATGAGTCCCAATTAATTTGAACTGACAGACCGTAAAAATCATATGTTTTCAATCATTTTTTCACTGGTAAAAATAAACATAAAAAATAGTAGCAGAACCTCAGGTAAAAGCTCGTAGTTTACTCATTGATAAATTCATAGAAAGGTAGTGATACATATTATATGAATATTTACTAAGATTATTGGTCTTGTCTTTAGAAGTCTACAGAACAAGTTATGATGTATTGTTTTAAACAAATGTGCTCCGTGATGGATTTGTTATGCTTCTCCCAAGCAGGAGTTGTTACTTTAGCACTGGGTGTCTTCCTTCTTCTGTTGCTTGCTTAGAACTAAGTGTGAATGATTCCCAGACATGCCTAGTGCAGCTTTTAAAAGTATAGTCCTTCTTCTTACAGTCTAAAAATCCAGCCCAGGTACTGAAGGAGTGGCTATTCACTTCTGTAATTCCTGCCCCTACTTGTTGCTAAAAGTCATACAAGAAGTGTAATTGCAGAAAAATTAATTAGGTGGTTAGGAGCTTGCATAAAGCTGGGAAAGGGGACTAAGAAAAGCAGGGCAATGAAAAAAGAACTTATAAGTCTTAAATTCTTGTTGTTTAGCACAACTTTTGATCTCATTTTTGGTTACAGGTGTATAGTAGAGTTGTTGACTGAGGCTGTGACTTTCATTGAGGAGCTTGAAAGCCATTTGCAGTCTGTGAGAAGCATCCCTCAGATTCCACAGATGATGAACAATATGGTGAGTAGTAAAAGAATTGAGCCAGCTGTCTTCTCCATCATAAAAAATGCAATGCTGTTCGGTTGTTTAGGTTACTTCTATGTCCTGATAGACTGATAGGATGTATGGAGACTAAATTCAACCCTTTTCTGTTTCAGGGCACCGCTTTGTCAAAAACAGAGATGTGCGTGATAGAATTGGAGGAGCTGACAGAACAAATACTGAAATGGAAAGAACTGCAAAAGGAAGTGTATTCTAACAATGTATGCAATACTGCTGACTTGTTCTTTGGCTTATCTTTAATCTAACAAATAATATTTCTAAAATGGATGACTACTCAAAGAACTACATTCTTAGGGTCTTCTGTGAAAACTGCAACATAAATATCTTTTAATCCAACAGAGAATTTGTAGGTAGTTATATTCTGTTATTAAGTAACAGTTCTCCAACTATTTACTAAAAAATGGACAATGAGCAGTAGCCCATAGGAAGACAGTACTGAGAAGACTGTTAAGGAGTTCATTATTTAAATAGTTGGATAGGAGTTCCTTGGAGCCTGTATCTTCAATGGAAAATTGTTTTGATTTTTTTTGCACTTGCTATAGTACCTTTATTCATTTTTGTAAACATCTTGGTAAAACACTGTATTTTGGGTGTTGCCATAAAGCTTCTATTAAAGTTTTCAAAAGCTCAGTTTCTTGCTTTTAATTTTGTTTTAAAATCCTATAATTAAAATTACAGAGCAAAGTCTTAGGTCCAAGCTTATGCTTCTATAGGAGTTCCAATCAAGAAGTTAAATTAGTTTTAAGTTACAGTTTATTATGACTGATGTGGTTTTGTGGGAAAGCAGGAAATGGACTTGGTAATACATGGCAGGTCTACTGATTTGCAAACCATGCTTCAATGATAGTGATGCATATAGTCTTCAGATTCTCTTTTTCTGTTGCTTGTCTGATTTTCAGTGTCCCACTTAGAATAAAACTGTTGTTCCATTAGGAAGATTGACAGTTTAGCAAAAGCATTGATTGTTCCAGTTTGTAATCCTCATGAAGAGATGGGTTGGTACAATGTCAGTGGCAGGACATCTGTAAACCAGGGTAGTTGGTTGACTTTGGAGGGTGCCCACTTTTGTATTCAGGATATGGAGTAGACTGAAGTATGTATTTCTTTCTGCCATTGTACCATTTGTTATGTGAACATCCACTTGTTGATTTCTGTCGCTGAAATAAGAACATTTTGCTTTCGCAAAGTAACCACTGGGTGGCCCAGTACCCCAAAGTTCACAAGTTTATCTGATTATTATTGCTTGTAAACTTAAAGCAGAATTAAGGAAGAAATCTCTGGCTCTTTGTTGAGCACACTCTATTATGACTTACTTGTATTTGGCTTATTTTATATTTGAACTTTTCTGAGAATCTCATTTTAATCTTTGTAATCCTTCTGCAGAGTATAATGACAAGACATCCAATTTAACAATTCTCTAGTATACTGTGTAAGCTGTAACTGATGTTCCTCTGCTGCTGCTGAGAAAAGTTAAGAGGATATAAACAATTTGAGTTAGGTTTAAGCAGAATGTCATTAGGTAGAATCTAAGAATATAATATCCCATTCTTCACTTGGGAAAATTTCTGAAATGTGGTGCCTTTTTCATTTAGATATAACACTTCTGGAGTTTAAGGCAAACTGTCTCATGAAAAGAACTATACTTAAAGTACAAAAAAGCAGTTACAATCAATTTAAACAGAAGTTGTTTAAATTTAAAACAAGATAGGATTCTAAAACTCTCATCTGATATTCAGATATAGCTCAGTTTATCATCTTTTGAAATGCAAAACCAGAAGTCCATTTAAAAATTTGCATTGGCAAATGGAATTGTCAAAACCATACAGGATTTGCCTATTGAGCCTGGCATCTTCTTTATGCCAACGCTCCTTGCTCTCACATCTTCCTGGTAACATCAGTAGGTGACAGAGACAGTATCCTAAAAGAAATTTTTAAAAAACTTTCAGTGGTTTTTATATTACTCTAAGTAAGAAACTTTTATCAATGCAACACTAGATAATGAATAAAATTAAAGTTCTTTGGAAGTTTCAAAATTTTCTTTTAGATCCTAAGTACGACACACACAAAGATGGGATGTTTCAAAGGCATCGAAAACACTTGAGACATTTTCTTTAGTACTAATAGGGAAGAGATGCTTGCCTTCCCTAAATTCCCGTGAAAGTAATGTGGAGGGCTTACAGTGCTTGTCCCTAGTAAGCGCTTTAAGGGCGGCACCCTTAATCGGATTGGTGGCATTGAACTCTTGGGTAAAACCCGCGCTGGTTTGCCGCGGGTTAAAAGAGAATTTAGGGGGGAGCGCGAAATCCCCGTCTCTTTCTGTGGGAGTGCCGCTCTCCGGGACAGACCTGTCTGCGGCGGAAAAGCGCAGTTTGGAGGCTCTGGGCAGGCTTTCCCCAAAACGCCTGCTGTCCGCCCGGGGAAGTTCCCGTGCGTTCCCCCCGCGGGGCGGGCCGGGCGGCTCCGCTGCTGCCGCTCCTCCCCGTGCCGGCCGGGGGCGGGATGCGGGATGCGGGGCCGGGGCTCGGGCGGCCGCAGCCGCTGGGCGTGAGCCGAGCCATGGCCAACGTCAAGGTAGCCGTGCGGGTCCGGCCTCTGAGCAAAAGGTGCGGAGGGGCGCGGAGGGGCGCGGGAGGCTCTGGGCGGCGGCAGCAAGGGCTGGGGGGTGCGGCTGGTGCTGTCAGCCGAGACGGGATCGCCGCCCTGGAGAGCGGCTCGGCCGCGACTGAGGGAGCTCAGCCGTGCGGCGAGAGGAGCGGCAGCCTCTCGCCTTTCCGAACAGCTTGGAAAGTTTGCTTAGAAAAGTCACCCAGTGGAGCTGTTAGGCTGACTTCCCTCTTCCTGAGCTCCCCAGACCGGGACAATTGTCATACAGTGTCCAGGAGTCTTCCCTTCCCCTCTGTCGATGCTGTTTTTTCCAGCGGGAGGCAGAGCCGGATATTCCCATTGTCGCTCAGCTCCGCTCCCTCCCTGGTTTACTTGGCTCCGATGGAAATCCCAAAAGCTACATGTTACAGCTCGAAGACAACTCCCGCAAACAAGAAGATGCCGTAGCACAATGATCTGGTGTTATTTGTGTATAATACATGCTTCAAACCTTGCAGACCTTGGAAATTCGGAGAGGAAAAGAAAGAAAAAGCGAGCAGCCCAAATGTCAGCGGCTGGTAATTTACTCCTCCCGTTAGAGAAATGCTAGAGCGCTCCAGACAGGAATGGTTTGAAATGGTACAAGCTCTGAGAGCCAGTCTTTGATTTGATGCTGCCTTTCTTTCTGGCACGAGTCCCTCACGTTGTCTTCTGACTGCACGGACTTTTGTGATAAATAACTCTTTCATGCAGTAGAGAAAATGATTCTTGAAGAGTTGCCCAGCCAGAAAACTAGCCTAGTCATTTAGTCAGCAGCACATTAACATGTTTTGGACTCTTTTGTTCTTATTTGGCCATGGATTTTAATTTAATTTTATTTTCAAAAAGAGACACCAGAGGATTTTGAATAAAATTAAAAATCCCACCCAAAACAAGCATGCTAGCATTAATGGAAAAGGGAAAATGCGCAAACTCATTTACAGGTTTTCAACACATTTTGCCTTTAAGTCAAAGCTAACTGATTTTTAAAATACTCTGTCCATAATTTTGTTTAAAATCGTGCCTGGGTTATATAGCTCTGATTGGTTGTACAGCTGTGAATGGAGCAGATTTTAACAGATACTGGCCTATTTTAAGAAGAGTTGCAGCACTGAAGTAAGCTAAGCTTAACCTTTTATTGCTGGTGGATATATTATTTGATTTTTATCAGTATCTTCCCTCTCACTAGAGAGTGTGGTGCATTGCCCCACATCTCTCTTAATGTCTCCCCTGGGTGGGTTGCTTTAAATAGTGCATATTAGTGAATATGTCATTATAGCAAAAAGCAGTACCTGTAACTGTCAGATAAGGTGTGATAAACAGGAAAACGTTTGATGTAGTCAGTGTGGGCCAGGGATGTCGTTTGGAGAAGAGGTAGGATCAGAGAGGTGGGCAGCTTCCTGCACATGGGAGGAACTCATCTGAGGCTGAAACAGACATGTTTGTATGAAGATGAGAGTGGAAACTCATTGGGTAATGCAGGGAGAAACTCTTAAGTAATTCCATCTATCAACTCGTGATGGTGTAACAGATGGGATGGGAAGGTAGGCAGAGACCAGGCTCATGGTGTTTGCCCCCAAAGGCAATAGGCCAGTTGCTCCTACTATGCTGCCTCAGCTGAGGTCAGCAAAAGCATTTTAAGATGGATTTTTATGTTTTATAAATAGGAAGAGGAAGTGGTTGTATATTCTCCGTGAAGACTCTGACATGAGAACTTGCTTTAGCCTTGAACAAAATTGCTCAAATGTAATGACTTAGAGGCAAATGCTAAATATATGAAGGCTTCGAGTAATCTTGGCAGACAATGAAAAAAATTCCCAGTGGGTTTAAAGGTCTGGTCTCTTCCAGCTTCTTATACTGTTTCCTTGCTGTCCTCACACAAATCTCTTGCTTTCTCTATACACACACTCTGCAATTGCCCCAACAGGGTATCCATATTGCCACAGCTTCTATGATCTTTTAGGTGTTTTACAAAGGAAGACTTCCTGCAGTAAAAATTTCGGTTCTACTACATTGAAGTACTATAATTTGTACAATCTCAGTTCCAGCCAAAAATACTAAACCTGGCTTTTAAGAACTTAAAAATTCCAGAAATTGGAAAGCTGCAGGTAAAGGCTAGAACCCATGGGTCAGTTGGTTCTTTCTAGACTATCGTGCAAAGTTCCTCATTGCTGCTCTTCATTTAATTTACAATGGCAGATGAACATTGGTTTTGCATGTGAAAATTTACTGAAAATTCAGGCGTTAAAAAATGTTAATGCAGGAGCTGTCAAAATTTTTGTTATTTAGCATAAGGCAATGAGTGGTCTTTTTGTTCTGCATCTGTATGGCACTCATCATAGTGCATTCTTTGACAGAGAGCTCCTATGGCCAAATAATCCATGACAGATATAAAGCAAGCATAGTTAGACAAAATGCAGAAGTTTTTCCACTGCCTAAAATTAAAACAGCCTGTAGCCAGTGTTCTTCATAGTGCTATCAGTCATTCTGTAACAGACTGAATGATTTTTTTATCACCAAAATATAGTGTTGGGTGTAAATTCAGTCAAATATTTTCCCCAGAGTAACATTTAAAAGTCTTTATTACACTTTTACTATTCTACATACTAAAAAAGATTTGTTACTTTGTGGTTACATGGATACTTACTCTGTGTAAATGCGTTTCTCCCTTAGAATGAAATATGGAAATCTGAATGGGTTCATTAAATTGTCTAGAGCCATAGGTAATAATCAGGTATTAAATAGGAGCTGGGAACTGATGAAATCCTTTTATGATTTA